GATGATTATTCAATTGTTAGTCACACGAGCCCCCGGACGTTTCCGCCGTCTGGTTCGGGGGTGTGACAGTAGTGATATGTGGTATGCCAGTCGATTATATGCTTTATGCTATGCTATTTGTTATGTGATATTTGCATGAAAGACCATGGGGGGAGCCCATGACACTTGGATATAAGACCATGTGGGGGAGCCCATGGCTGTCCGGCAGGGAAAGACCATGGGGGAGCCCATGACACTTAGGTGTAAGACCATGTGGGGGAGCCCATGACATCCTTATGCAGGGATACGTGGTAGAGATAGCTTTTGTAGCTAATATGTTATGCGGTAGAGATAGCTTTTGTGGCTAACATGATATGTGGTAGAGATAGCTTTTATAGCTAATGTATTATGTGTTAGAGATAACTTTTATAGCTAATATGATATGTGGTATGCGGTAGAGATAACTTTTAAAGCTAATATGTTATGTGTTATGTGGATTGTGTGTAGGGTATGCTCTAGGGGACTCACTAAGCTTTGTGTTTACGGTTTACAGTTTTGGTTTCAGGTTTCATCGATTTGGAAATGAAGGGCTAGGATTGATCGCAGTGCACACACCTATGATTTCCGCAATGATTGATTTTGGGATGAACTCTGATAAATGTTTTACTTAATGACGACTTGAAGTGGTTGAAATGAATGGTATCAATGTGTTAATTATATTAAAAATAAAATTTTTACCCTTGATTTTTGGGTCGTTACAATTCTAGTAATTCGTATTATACAAGACTTAATTAATATGATCGATCCCATCGCTAACGGTTAACCTTTCAAATTGTCTATGTCATTAATGCAATCATGAACATTAAATCAATATTCATATGTCTAACCTAAGGATCCCTCCTCCACTTTCTACCTTATTAACGCAAATTCCAATTGCTCTAATGTTAGCAAAACAATATGATACAAGAAGCATAATCCAAAATCAATATCCTTGACACCCACTCTAGACGACCTTAAGAAATGATGTTTTTACGGTAAATCCATTTCATATTGGGTCCATTTTCATCCCATATCTCGACGTAGCATGAAAATAATGAAAAACATGATTTTTTTTTTACAATTCATTTTCGTAGTGGACACATTAGGCTACTTGGAGTGGGCAACGCCCACTTCCGTTATTGTGCTTAATAACGGCTAATAACGCCAATGAACACCACCCCCCTCTATAGTTATTGCACGTTAAAGGTATTCCCGTTGCTTCCCGTTACCACCACAACATTTGGTAACGGTGTTTTCAGTTTGTTTGTTTTTTTTTTTTTTTTGGCCTTTTCTGCTATTAACGTCTCTGGGCGTTGCCCACTCCTATCACTCTTAGAAACTTTATATCTATTTGATTATTTTTGGTTATTCTTTTAAAAAATAAAAAAAAATGATTATATTAATCATTTTCTATTAAAATGATGAAAGTAAACAGTGGAGGAGTTAATTAGAGGATATGTTATTCATTTTACAAACTAAAGAACAATTAAAGCAATTTTGTGATCCCCAATTTGATTTGAATTTTTCGATCCGCCCAAACCCCTTTCAAACGGCTACAGCTTTCTGTCTCTCTCCGTCCCTCTCTTTACAGTGTCTGTACTGTGTGTGTCTCATAATTTCTCGCTACTTTGCCTGTCGGAACCCTAATTCTCTTTCACTCTCTCGATCGCTACTCTGAACAAGGATTTTGAAAAGATGAAGCGTTTTATTCAACCAAGAAGCCCCATCTTGAGAGAGAATTCTGTGGATACACCTCCATCAAACCCTACTTCAACAAAACAGAGTAAATCTTCTAGTCGAAAACATAAATCCCCCAAAGAAAATGCTCCACCTTCTGACCCCAACGCCATTCCAGATTCGTATCCTTCTCCATCGTTTACGGGTAAACCATCTCCCGGTGCTTCCAGTAAATTGAAATCTCCACTGCCACCCAGACCTCCTCCGTCTAATTCTCACAAGCGGAAGCTTAGTAATGATTTTCTTCTTGAAAATGGTGTTGCTGGATCTTCGGATACTGGGGTCAAGGTATATTTATAAGAGACGATCTTATCTTTCCGAACTGTAAATTGCTGAGTTCTTCAAGAAATTGTACAAGAAAGCCGGTCTTAACATGTAGGAATATATTTATTTTTGTTGTGATCTGGATCAATTTAGGTTATTGTGCGAATGAGGCCACCAAATACTAATGAAGAAGAGGGGGAAGTTATAGTACAGAAGACATCTGATGATTCTTTGTCAATTCTTGGGCAGACATTTACTTTTGATTCTGTAGCGGATGCATCCTCAACTCAGGCACGTTTTGTGCATATTTATTTATAGGAAATGCATCTAGATTTTAACACTGATGAAATGATTATTGTGTTTCTGTTGAATTCAATTTTTCTTTTTCAGGTAGATATATTCCAGTTCGTAGGAGCTCCCCTTGTTGAAAATTGTATTGCTGGATTTAATAGTTCTGTGTTTGCATATGGGCAGGTATAGTTTATCTTCCTTTTGACTATAAATGTATCAACTTTCTTTCTTTCATTATTCATGGCATTTATATTAATACACACCACAAATAAAATTTGAGTAGACTGGGAGTGGAAAGACCTACACAATATGGGGGCCATCCAACACATTGTTGGAAGAGGAGTTATCTAGTGATCAACAAGGATTGACACCTCGTGTGTTTGAAAGACTATTTTTTCGCATGAATGAGGTGAGATTGTATGCTAAGTCTATATTGATATTTACCTTGATGTTCAAGTAAATCTGTCCTCATGCATTAAAGGCAATTTTGTATAGGAACAAAATAAACATGCTGAAAAGCAACTCATGTATCAATGCCGCTGTTCTTTTCTTGAGGTAACATGATAATTTATTTATCATGGGCAATTGAACTTCTGTTGTTACAAGTATCTTAAATCCTAATTCTGGGAAACTGTATTTACAGATCTATAATGAACAAATT